TAGTCACCCTGAACCGTGGATCGCCAAATTCGGAGGAAATTTGCCGACCACGGTTTTCGAGCGAGACCTCTCAAGTTCCCTTTTACTTTTTTTTATCCGCATGTCGCGCAGACCTGGGCATTCATTTGAGCTGGGTTTGAAACCTGAAAGGATCTTACAGGAAGGTTCTGATATATATATATTTTTTTTTAACTTGGATCTTCATGGCTTCGGGGCGTCCTGCCTGGTGCGACTATCGACTGCAATTGTAATTTGTGGGACAAGTTAGGCAAGGACGAGCCCGAATGGCTTGTGCGTTTGTATTTATGGTCTTTCTGGTTTGGCTCCTTATCCTTATTTTCCTTCTTCTCTCTCATTTTTTTTTTTATTTGGTTTCTTGTTTAAGTCGTCCATTATTTTCAACACGTGCCGGTAGCACGTTGAGCGGTCATCAGAGGTGACGATGCTCATTACAGCGACCTCTGCGAGGTGGTTCGGAAACAACAGCTGATCATTCATCACCACGCGACCGTGTAATTTTAAGATTGCTTCACCCTTTTATACATAACCCGTCACGTACATAGATTATGCGTACTTAATTGGAGCCTGCGAGGTGATAGGAAAAGATGAGGAGCGATCAGACGCTTCTTGTCCCCCAAGGCCGTCCCTGAAGAGACCACGTTCTCGTTGAACTTCATCTTTTTTTTCTTCATTTTTTTCCCCCCTCCCGTAATCTAGTAATCAGAAGAGCGATTTTTCAATTGGTTAGCCAATTGTGGGTTAATCGTATTGGAGTTCTTCGAGGCGAGTTCTCTTCGCTAGGGGACCTTCCAAAAGGTTTCATGTTTGTATCCGGGCTCGGAGAACCTTTAGGGGAGAAGACGATCGATATGTGAAAACCGAGGAAAAAGATAACGCAAGACTAGCCTCTGCGAGTGTATTACTTTTGTATGTAAATAATATATGAACGATCGAAGAAAAGGGAAAAGAAAAAAAAACACGTACAGGCACATCAGTAGGTAACCTAAGACTACCTTTTTAGCCTAATGTTCATATAACGCTATCTCTCTCTCTCGACACGTGTAAGATTGTATCGATATGTATATGTATAATTCGTGTATTATAGAGCTTATCCGAATACAACACTAACCGCAAACGAGAATCGGCTGTTTCGTAAATGGAAGTACCCTGAGATCGTCGGGCGAATGAAAAGGTGCAAATAAATGGAGGCGTTTCGAGAAACCCGGAAAAATCGTCGGAAATGACTTTCCCAGTTTTCCGCGACCTAACATGTCTTTAGGGTAATCAGGTAATAGTTGCGATTACCTTTTCTAGTTTTCCTGTTTCGTTATTTTTTTTTATTTCTCTCTCTGTTTCTTTTTTTTCCTTGGAGATTACCCTCATAATCGGCGCCGACTAGGTGCTTTATTTTCCTGCAATGTCAATACCGATTTAATGGTAATCGGTCATGTAATCATCTCGCACTGACGAAATCCTGGCAATCGAGAGTCGGTAATCGTAAATTAATGACAGACCGAGATGACTTTTGTAATACATTAATTGCGACGTCTTTTCCATTTCGCGACCGGTTGCACTTATACATTGTCGGGGTAATAAATAGTTTACAGGGTACGTAATCATTGCACTAATCTGAAAGGGAAGGAAAAAAAGAAAGAAAGAAAAAAAAATATTCCTAGAGCCATCAAACGTTCATACAGAACTGTACGGAGGTCATTTAGTGAAAAAAGAATCCTAAATAATGCATCGTGGTATCGAATGCAAATACTGAGTGTCATGTAAGAATCGATTGAAATTCAATTTACTGGGAGGAAAGTGAATTGATTAATCCCGAGGAAAGCTTATCCATCAATCGTGTTCTTATTAAATTTCAGGTACACTTTATTTGACGTCACCTCTTTTTTTTTCCTGAATATCCGTTCTCCCATCCGACCGCAAATTTCCTGCAGAATTCTTCCGATTGTTAAAGAAATATTCGTATCGAGCCAGGAACGATAATTTCCTTTTAATTTATTACAGTCGATTCCTATGATGTACCCTCGACAGATGTGTAATTATGCTAAATGGCGTGGAATTAATAAGTTCAAGTAATGGTTTGCGGGATATATTTGAATCCGTTAAACAACAAGTTAGGATCAAACCAAAACACAGTTTGAGTTAGACATCTCGTGGATACTGTCCTTTTTCTTTTTTTTTAAGTTGATCACTCCTTTTTGCTACTTTTGACTCCTACTACATCTTGCCTATCGCAGTCAATGAATTATGTTAATGATGAGCATCATGGTCGCTATAATCGCTCGGAGGAAAATGAATGAACAAGTACATAGGAAAGTCGAATGGGAAGTATCGGAAACGGTTAACCAGATTCGTCATGTCCGCTCGTCGGTCGGATTTATTCACGTAGGTTATCAACGTAAAAAAGGTATTGTTATTTCCCAAGAACGTCGGGATGTGTATGAGGAAACTCGAGGTGCACTTGCAATTAATTCGATGTCGTAAATGGGGTGACGCGCGTAGGTTTTAACAGATACAAATTACGTGCTTACGATTTGTCAGGCATTATTAAAGTCGGAGCTTCTCTTTGAGTTTGCGATGAAAGAGTTCAGAGAATAAGCCAGAAAATTGTTAGAAATTATTAAAGTCGCAGTCTCTCTTTGGATCGCGATGAAAAGTTTAGAAAATTGGCATGAGATTTTGGGGGTGACGCGTAAATTTTGACAGGAGCAAAGCACGTGGTCATGATTTGTTAAAAATTGCTAAAGACGAAGCTTCTCTTCTAATCGCGATGAAGAGTTTAGAAAATCGGCCAGAAAATTGTTAGAAATTATTATAGTCGCAGTTTCTCTTTGAATCGCGATGAAAAGTCCAGAAATATAGTCAGAGATTTTGAGGGTGACGCGTAAATTTTTACAGGAGCAAGCCACGTGGTCATAATTTGTTAAAAATTGCTAAAGACGAAGCTTCTCTTCTAATCGCGATGAAGAGTTTAGAAAATCGGCCAGAAAATTGTTAGAAATTATTATAGTCGCAGTTTCTCTTTGAATCACGATGAAATGTTCAGAAATATAGCCAAAGACTTTGGGGCGACGTGCGTAAATCTTAACAGGAATAAACCACGTGGTCGTAATTAGTCAGGAATTATTAATGTCGCGGCATCTCATTGAATTGCGATGAAAAGTTCAGAAGATTAACCTTCGATTTTACCACGAACGACCGCAGATAAGATCTAAGGAAATCCCAAACTGACGTATTTTTGCGGGAAGACAATGACGCTGGGGAAAAAAAAGAACGCACGTCCCTTTTTAGGAGAGCCTAGCAAATCCTAGATGCATTGTCGAGTAACAAGGAACGTTATACATGTTTCACTCGACACAAATGGTATCAATTATAGGGCTTGGACAGCACTCGAGTCCCGAAAAAAAAAAAAAATTGGGTCAAACAATTATTTAATCTGATATCGAGTTTCCGGTCGATAAACCTATGTGGAACTGGCTCCAATAATGCTGAATTGGGAAAAATCTTAAGTCGCGAGGAGGGGTTAATAAAGTCTTATCAGCTCTCCCGCAGGGATAATCTCGAATGCCCTGTTCGTTAACGTTATCAGTCGTCTGTTTACCGAAAATTAAGTTCTATTCAAAGAGTCTATACAAGGGAGACAATCGTATCGGTATTTGGTTAACGCCTCGTGAGAACTATTAAATAACCCTTAACAATGGCCTTGCAAATCATTTTCAGCGTATAGATGGGCTCGTTATCAGATAAACGGTAATGCACGATACAGCGAAATGCCGGATGATAGCTCGAGATAGATTCGTCAAGCATGGGCGGATTAACGAGACGACAAACGCGTTTGGTCAATCACCTGGAAGATTACGACAACATCCTGTCGATAAATATCTAAAGGTAATCTAATTTCCGTCATGTGTCACTTAACAATGGTTATCGTGTTTTTTAATCGAACAGCGAAAAACAATCGCGTTACGTTCGGAACCCGTGGAAAACTGAAAAGTGATTTCGATAATTGGTCATCAGAAAAGCACTATACGGTGTTTTTAAATTGCACCGATACCGATAAATAATCGAATTAGGTGTTAGACTTTGTGGAAAACTAAAAAGTGACGTCGAAATGGTCTCGTTTAAGAAACTTTCCCCCAAACTGGGTGCACCGTGTCGTGTCCAACTTTACAGGATGAATATGGACGCTATAAGGTCCTGGCACCCACGAAATTAAAATTAAAAAAATGACAATTGAAAAATTGTTTACAAAAATTAGAATTTCATGGCTGTCAAGGCTTTTCTTATAGCCTCCGCGTTGACGTTGTAAAGTTTAAAACGATTTCGTAGACCGTGTCGTGTCCAACTTTACAGGATGAATATGGACGCTATAAGGTCCTGGCACCCACGAAATTAAAATTAAAAAAAGAATCTGACAATTGAAAAATTGTTTATAAAAATTAGAATTTCATGGGTGTCGAGGCTTTTCTTATAGCCTCCGCGTTGACGTTGTAAAGTTTGAAACGATTTGGTAGACCCAGTTCGGAGAGGAGTTTGAAGAACGATTAACCCCTCAGATGGGACTTTCACATCCCCTTAAAAGAAGTTAACGGGTAAACCAGGAATTTATTTGGCAATTCGAGGCCAATCGTCGAAATCAATCTACCGAGTTAATGTACCATCGCTCGCAATTAGATCTGTTTCATTTCGAGGAAGTGACGGAGATCTCGCAATCTCGGACGTCCAGGTTCCCAGAAAGTGGTAATCTTGAAGAGTTTCCTGCATACGTATCTTCCGGTCTTCGCCTTGTCGATGATTAACATCGAAAAATGACGCGCTTTTCGTCATTATTCCTCTCCGAAGTAAAGCCTCAATTCCAGCACAGCCTGCAACACGTGCTGGGGTGTCACACATGTAATCGAGTCGCTATAAAAGAGACGACCGGATTAACAGCAGCTTCAGTCTAGCGATAACAATGAGTATCTACGGTTCGGAAGGAGTCGGCATCACCGTGGCCCTGGTGGCCGCGGTGATAACGTTGTACTACTTCTACGCAAAGTACAAGCTGAATTACTGGAGAAGGAAAGGGGTCCACCAGCTTCCCAGCGACCTGATCTTCGGGAACTTCAAGGAAGCCATCCTCTTCCGGTCGGCTCCAGGATGGCATTTGGGGACTTTATACAAAACAGCACCCCAAGACGCGCCCTATCTCGGGTTCTACATCTTCCACAAGCCCTGCTTCCTCCTCAGAGACCCTGAAGTCATCAAGCAGATCCTCATCAGGGACTTCGACAACTTCTCCGACCGGCACTTCGCCGGGTCCAGGCAGAAGGACAGCATAGGGATGAAAAACCTGTTCGGTTTGAAAAATCCTGCGTGGAAGTACTTGCGCTCCAAGATCACTCCGACCCTGACGAAGGGGAAGCTGAAGATGATGTTGCCTCTGATGATCGAGACCGGCGAGCCCATGATGCAGTACTTGAAGGATCAACCTATGGACAAGGAGGGCATCAGAAGAGTGGACGCTCAGGAACTTAATTATAAATACACTACAGACCTTATCGCCTCGGTTGCTCTTGGTACCAAAACGGACTCCTTCTACAACCCCAACACTGAGTTCTCCAAAGCTGGTGAGACTCTCTCAGAAGTACTCTTGGGAACCTCTTACAGAGATTGGATCTATCGCGATGATCTTCGAGATCAAAAGAAGTCATGGGCCAGTCTAGTTGCTCGTGCAAAATCCTGAAAATAATTAGAATTAAGATATCGGATAAGGCGGGCTGAAAATAATTCTAAAGTGAGCCTTTGATCAGCTCCGTCACCTTTTTTTATATGTGAGCGATGCTTTTAATTGATTATTAGATTAATATAATGTACTTATCGGGGGATTATTCAATTCACTCTTGCATATCGGGTTTCATGTTGGATCGGATGGTAGTCCCATTATCTTAAATGACTCCGTTATCTCGCCTGATCAGTATCTCTGGTAATATATAATAATTGATTAATTGATGCCGTGGTGATAATTGATATTATCTTCCAGTTATGGAATTTTTCCACGGATTCAAGAGGATGGTTGCCCTAGTTACCGTGTTCTTCATGCCAGAGCTGGTGGAGATGATCGGCACGAGGATGCTCTTCAACTCCAGCTTCGTCAAGAAGGTCTTCTGGAACGCCTTCGAGTCCAGGGAACGAACCGGTGTCAAAAGGGGAGATTTCATCGACTCCCTTGTGCAGCTTAAAAATGGGGAACAGAATCCAGACTACAGTTAGTTGAAAATCTCCATTTACAAAAATCACTCCCAAGAGTTTATAGTTTAAATGTTGTCACTGTATTACCTGGTTTGAGGAGAACCGTTGTTAAACAATATCTTTCAATTTTTTTAGAATTCGAGGGCGACAATTTGCTTTGGCAATCTGGAACATTCTTCTCCGGCTTTGAGTCCAGTTCCACTACGGCAGCTTTTACTTTGTTGGAGTTGGCCAGGCATCCTGAATATCAGGAACGGGCACGAAAAGACATTTTAAAGGCAATTGAAAAGCATGGATGGAATTATGATGCCTTCAATGACATGAAATACCTTGACCAAGCATTATCCGAAGGCATCAGACTGCACCCTCCGGTGTCCACCATTGACCGATACACTCGTCAAGACTATAAAGTAAGATACATTTGATAATAATATTTTTCCCTTATAAAACATCTCTTAAAAAATATGAAATTGCTATGAATTTTTACTGTATATCGCCAGGACTATAAAATAAGATACACTTGATACTTCTTTTATAAAATGCAACGAACATGAAATAACCATGAATTTTTATTACACACTACTTCGATGGATTGTATTTTCTAACTAATGGAGTTTGTTTCCAGATTCCTGGGACAGATATCGTCCTAGAAAAGGGAACCGCAATTTACATCTCTTTGTACGGATTGCAAGAAGATCCACGATTTTTCAACGAACCTCAAAAATTCAATCCCGACAGGTTTGGTGAGGGAAATGTCATTTCTGATGCCTACATTCCATTTGGAACGGGTCCAAGAATGTGTGTTGGTGAGTATTGATTATTCTTGGAGTTTGGAATTATTCACTTGCATTGATCTTGATGTTAATTCAATTTGTACATTCTTCATTGATTTCAGGAATGAAGGTCGGTCAGCTTCATGCCAAGGTGGTAATCGCGATGTTATTGCGGGAATATGAAGTCTACCAAGATCCTAATGAGAAAACTGATCTTGATCCAAGATCGACGTTTACGGCCGCAGCTGATGGCATTAATCTGAAATTCAAGAGATTGGCTCAGTAACTGTTAAAGAAATTCATCGCTCTCGATCTCAACGATTCTACTTGTTTTGGTACAGCCAGTAAAAACAGAATCACTTGACAGATATGCCAAGTTAAGAGAAACGCAGTCAAGGCAAGAGCTCATCGGAGGAGTCCTTTTGTTAAGTTAATTATGCCCTAATATTTATGTTTCTACGGAACGGAGACAGTAGACTCTCTTTGGGACGACACCCTGGAGAATTATCAGTATTCTGATCACGGTGATGTAGATGACTATTTGTTAAGTTTATAACGGGTATATTAGTTATTATTGAGGAGAGATTTAGTTATAATAAACGTTACTTAAAATATAACGCTTAATTAAATTCTTAACCTAAAAATTCGTGCAACCTAAGAACATTTAAATATTTTCCTGAGAAATCCTCATTACGCGACAGACGCAGGGGAACGCGAATCATAGAATTAATCTAAGGGCTGAGGAAAAACCAAGGAAGGAAAGACTGAAATGGGTACGTAACTGTTTGACACTACACCTCGCATCGCATCGCATAATTGGTAAAATAATTCTATTCGTGTCATTAGCCTTAGATTACGAAGTACACATTGATCGATAGCGTCGTTTCATCAGGCCGCGCGTACACCCTAATTAGGATCGTTATTTACAAAAATATTGACATTAAATTATAAATATAAAGTCCTCACGGATATAATTCATTTTGGTAGAAGACTCAGATACTTCTTGAACTCCGGAAGCACGCAATCCCTTGGACTGAGTGGCTGTTCAGCAGTTAGATAGTCACTTAAGTATTGCGGCACAAAACAGAGGATTCCTTTGCTGGCTAACATAGCCCAGTCCATAGGTTGGTCCACTTGCCTCAATTGAACGAAGCAATGAGTGATTTTTTTGCCAGGACTCGTGTCATACGGAGGCCTGAAATAATCAGACCTCGAAATAAATTGCTGAAAATTACAATTGGATTTCACATGGAATTACGGAAGGTACTCCGGCCTACCTGGCTTGAACGACTGTGCCGCTTCCAGCGCATATTAACCTCTTAAATTGATCGTACTTTTCTTTTTGAACCAGAAGTAATGCCACCATTTGCTTGAATGCACCCTCTGGTTCCTTCATTAATTTTAATCTCCACCTGTGGGCAGCAGCAGCTATCGACTTCTCCGTTTCTGTACTCAAATCCGGTATGACGCCTTTGCTTTTCGGATTGCCCCATTCGTACTTCTCCTCCTAAAAAATATTAATTCCGTGTAGCAGTAAAACTGTTAATGTACTTTCTGTGTTTCTCAATAATCACTGGAAATCATTACGCAGCTTACGTCTAGGAATTTGCCTTCTCGTTCGCAGTGCTGCAGATAAATGCAATGAAGCACCCATTTTCCTGATGCTATGCTCCCAAGCATTTTCTCATTTCTTGAAGGCTTCATGCAAAGTAAGTGCGAAGCAGTTGAGTCGAAGTTCATCTCGGTGGATACTTCTCCCCCAAGAGTTTCGATCACATCTTCATACTGTTTCCGATCCTAGAATGAAATAATCATTGATAAATAGCAATTAGTAACATTCTCACATCGTACACTTTTCTTTTTCACTTACCTTAATGCCCGAGAGCATAAATTTCGGTTTAATTGACTTCACTTCAGGTTCTTCATGTATCGTTTCCCCTTCGATGTTTTCTTCATCAATTGGTGGCTATTAACGTGAATAAAAAAGGATAAAACGGTTTAGAATTATACTGTACTAGACATAATATTATATAATAGTGAATGTCGCTAATGAAAATAATTACCGGTTTGGATACCTGACGTTGATCGCCATCTTCCCACCTAACCGTATCAAATTGAGAGTCTTTCGCCATACCTGGGGAAAAAAAATGCCAGTCAATCGAGGCCTGTGATATTTGTTTGAACTTGAAAAACGTGAGATACATTTTACGACGTTGTCGATGGGCACTGCGTCTTTTCCTCCGGAAATCGAGCACCTGGTTTCCGAAGAATAGGCCGTTTCTCGTAGTACCTCGTCCAATTTCGCAACGTGGCTGAAATGTTTTACACTTGTTCAAATACACCGATTGTATGCCTTGACAATGTTCGACAATACCGACACTCACAAATTTAATTTACTCCTCTGTACTGGACTGCTGTCTTCCGGAAAAGATAATCGCCGGTTAATTGGAGTATCATTGGTCGATGCCGGAGATTTCGAATCTTCCTCTCCATCTGTTTTGGATGTTGCAATTGCAGCTGTATTTCGATTTGCCGATGATTTATCTTCCTGGTCCTGAATTCAGAAAGTTGCGAAATCGGAATATCTTTTAAATTTGTGTACGTACAAGTGCGTCATGTTTACTGCCCTTGATATGACAATTGATAACTGATACGTACATCGTCTTGGTCATATGGCTGTTTAATTTTTTCCCACAGTTGCCGTTTCAGATCGGAGAGAGGCTGAAAAGAGGGAAGCAGGTAATAAAAAAAGTATCGGAAATTTATTTATAATTCAGCACTCACAGTACTGGGAGCTCTCTTCTTTAGAGGTGGCTCCTCCACCCTTAAGTCGGAAAAATTATCCGCCCATTTTATCAATTCCTTTCTAGTGCTTGGAGAAGGGCTGGGTTTGAAAATTTGACCGTACGGTGTTTCGGGAGTAGAAACATGAAACGGTGATTGAGGCGTCTTATTCGAAAGCAATTTAAGCCTTTTGTTTATCAACGGAGTCTCTCCTGGAGCTGATTCTTGACTCTAAAACGATAATAACTCGGATTACACTGTTTTTTTTTGGAATAATAAAAACTACCTGAGGAGTGTTAGCCTGAAGCCGTTTCGGTGTTAAAACCTGCCGGGGAAGTGGAACTGCTGGTGGTTTCATTTGATTATTTTCAAATGTGCTTTGCAATTTTGAAGTATTTTCGATCACTTCCTTAGATCTTTCTGGAGCTGTATTATTATAAATTTATAGAAACACTGAGTCCTCTATCATCTACAAAAATATGGCAAGGAAACATCACAGGGGTCGATTCTCGAGTTCATACGGATATTTTTCGCATACGAATAGATTCGTATAAAAAATGTTGCATTGTTGCGAAGTTGAGTCATTGGTCAACGTTTGAAAGCCGTATACAAAACTGTCAATTTCGCATGCAAAAGTTGATCGTATAAACTCGATTATCGGGGCTCTGGATATATTGTTTAATTAATAAACATGATTACCCATAGTCTCTCCAACAAGGAAAGGCGTCTCTTCGATTAATTTCTGCTCTAGAGCGCAAATTTGTAACCAGTCTGCGGTAACAGCTGGAAGTTTCCACTTTACAGCTGCATTGTACTTGTTTCCGTTTGGAGTCGGACAAACTAAGTGAGTGCTTCTCATAATGTTCCGTTCTACATTGACTTTCCTCGCGAACGTGTCTTGATAACTAAAAATCACGTGACAGATTTTTAAGGATTTATTTTCAAAGGGATGTCTGTATACCATGAGAAATAAAAAACTAAACATACGCTGCACCAAGGAGTTGTGCCAATTCAGTGAGGAATAAACGTTCCTTTCCGATATATGAACTTATGGTGATCACACAGCCGGTCAATGGTTTGGCATTTTCAGATATACAGACCGGTCGATGATAATACATGATATCGACAAGTTGATCTTGGTCGATGCAGTCATCCTGTGGAGTTGTAAAATGTATTAAAGTATAATCAACAGTATCATGAGATATTTCTATGATTTCTAATTAGACAACTCACAATAAATAAATTGGTAACTATGTCATTAGTAGTGTGCCTTAATAGTGCACCGCGCAGAGGGACTACGCCAAAATCAGGAATTCCAGAATACGATTTATTAATCACTTGTCCAGCCAAGTTTATTATAGTTTCTTCTAATTGTTTACTCTCTTCCTTGTTGAAACCGGCCAACACAAAAGTTAATCCTACAAGTTCAGCAAGAAAAATCTCAGTGAGATCAATCGATGGGAAGGACTTTTTTCTTTGAGATAAAATCTACCTTCGAATATCCTGTTCAAATTAGATCCTTGACTAATGGGTATCGCACTATCATTATATTTTTGATTATCCAACGATGCTGAATCCGTTCTTGACATGTTAATACTCTTTGCATTTTTCTCCAAGGTTGAAGTGTGAGGTTGTAGGAATTCTTTTAACGTTTTATCGGGAGCTGCGGTGAAGATAAAGGTTTAATAATTGATTACAGTACTTTGTCATAATTCATTGAAGCTTAATACATTTTTGTATACATTACCGACTGACTTTTGTAGATACTGTTGAGTCAAGTCCAATTGTTCGATTTGCTTCGATGAACTTGTATCTCTGTCGATATTTAAAGGTATAGTTTTTTTAGGTCGCTGTAACATTTGTAGATTCTGCAACAATATTTTATTGTTACATTAATTATCTAGTTTTTACTTATTTTTAATTATGGTTTGTTTTCACTTATTACATACCTTCTTACTAAGTGGTGACGCAGGTTCTTTCGGTTTACTAGAGGTATCATCTTTCGGTTCACATAAATAGTTCTCTTCAGCAGCGGGGCGTTTTAATTTCATACTTTCTTCCAGCCAATCAAGATGCAATACGTATGGACTAGAGAATTTAAATAAATTATATCATATGCATAAAAATTGCAAATACTAGAACCTACGACTCCAAAGAAAGTATACCTTAATCCTTTCGAACGCATGAGTTTTATTTCAGCAGATGCCTTATTTATATCTCCAATGAGAACGTGTGTTACAGCATCAGCAAGATCATCAAGCCTGGTGGCACTTCCAACGTTTAGAATGCGATTCAATTTTTCTCTGGCAATTGCCGTAAATCCAGCAAGGTAAATCTGTTGAAAGTTGAGAAAATAAGTAATTAAAAAATGCTGTAATTTACAGAATTTATGATTTAGTAGACTTACGTTGCATCCATCTAAAAATGGTCCAGCTAATTTAGCTTCCTTTAGATTCAGTCTTTCCAAAACTGGTATGTACGAAGCTGTAATAGGTAGTGCGGTTGTAGAAATATATTTTTAATATACGAATAAAATGTATAAATAGAAAAAAAAAACATGTCTTTACTTTGGTCCTGTTGAACTACCTCGGTGTGGCTACTCATGCTTCTCATGGTTGTCATCATAGTTTCATCAACTACTCTGTTTGGATTTAAATCTCCAGATATGCTTATTGCACTTATACTTGAAAAGTTCAATGTTTCATGTGCTGCAATTATACAGATATGTGTTAAATATGAAATAAGTAATTTTCAAATTTTCATTGTTGTATATTTTTAACTACGCACCTCCAGTCCTTTCAGGTGTAGAACATGCCTTTGTTGATGTAATTAAATATTTTGTGAAAGGTAATGCATAGCCAATGCTAACACTTTCATATACCCATTCCATTTGCAAGCAAGCAATATTATTTTGCATTGCATATTTCAACTTGTCACTAGGTGGACACTTCTCTGGGGCTAAGACAATTCTTACTTTTGAGCCATCCAGGGCTCCCATAAATTCCTAATAAATGCACGTGTTTGTGTTAAATTCGTAAATGTGTTTCAATGAAAATTGTTGGTATAAATTCTAGTGAACTAACCCCTCCGTTGCTGTTAATTAAATGTTTAATTTCTTCTTTCTTATTCTTTAGTAGAGCAGTTGAAGTAACAATCAGGTTCTTGAAGACCGGACATTTATACTTATCAAATACACTATTGTTTGCGCTAACAAATTCTTTCATGTTTGCTTCCCACACTGCATGCACCCATTCCACTGTGAAGATCGGTAGTTGATATTCTACAGCCTTCTATTAAATGAAAAATAATATACAATAAATATGATACATTCTCTAGATAAAAAAAATGTAATTTCAGAAAATCAATACTAACCTCGTATTTTGCAGACATAACAGAATCCGTTACTAAGTGCGTTACGCTACATCGAAATTGTCGGGTAAAGATCCCACCCATGTATTCCACTCTTTCTTGGATCCTATTCTAAAATGGTATTTAGATACATTATTAAATATGCTTTCAGGGCATACATATATTGTATGTTATTTTTTAAGTGTGAAATATATCCAAATACCTTAATATCTACAGAGAATCCGGATGCACATATTATAAGTCCTCGCATAGCATTGACAAATACTGGATTTGTACCTTCTGGAATAGGTTCATTCGAAGCAAAACAATTCAATAAACATCGTGGCCCCACAATCCTGCTGGAACATGAAGCATTTAATAGTAAAATAAGAGACGCAACTGAAAAGTAATACACGAATTTACAGATAATTTTTATTATGTACATCGTAGATGCCATATTATTTTTTATACTTACGAACACTTCAAATTCTGCAACTTCTTAAAAAGAATTCCTGCGAACTCCTCAAAAACGACTACATCTTTCTTTTGAAGCGGTATTTTGTTACACTTTTTCTCTGTTATCCATTTAGGAGATAAATCAAATTCATTACACTTCTGTAAGAATATGGAAAACATACATTGGCGATATTTTATTGTTTTACCGTTTTTTAATTACACTTCCAATAGAGTAATAAATAATACAAACATTAAATGCTTCCCACATGTCCTCAGAACACTCAGTTTCGTTCTCATATTCACCTCGAATGACAAAATATATATTTACATCAAATTGTGTTTCGGTATCTTCTTGAAGCTCCATTATGCAAGCTGGTTAAAAATCAAGAATTAATACTTATCCACTTATGTTTATAACCGTAAACTCTAAAATTGTGCATCATTTTAGGTTAGAGATCTTGAGTATGCCTACTTACCGGTCAAAAGTAACAGCTAAAAACGAGTAATTATGAAGTTCACATTTTCCTTTGGAATTGAAAATCTTCCTCCTAATTTCGTGACATTGAATAAGGCAACGAGACACTCTTAAAACGTTTCATTTAACACGAGAATTCATCGAATTCCCGCGCATTCGTTTAATCGAGATGTTGTTCCGAAAAGCACATTTACCGAGTCTAGGGTTATAAAACTCATCAAGAAAAATCTGCACTTGGTATAGATAGGGTATTTCGAGCAAATCAATCTAAATTAATATCACGAGTCTCTGATATCACTTACGTTCGAAGTTTGTTGAAATTCGTGTTGTTTTCGTCAAGTTTTCTTCTGCACAACTGAAAAAAATATGACGGTATTCAGGAAAGTGGATGTTTTATATTTTTCTGCAATTTTCAGATATCAATTCTTGTTTTATTTTACTCGGTTCACCGTATCGAATAACATTTAAAAACAACTCGTTAACTAGACAATGAATTCAGACGATCGTTCTCGGATTCGCATGTGAAGTTATTGAAATAGTTCCATGAAATGGCGCTACTTTCCTCGACGTCAGCGCCTTATATAGTATCGCCAAGGAGAGAGGGGGGCGAACTATAAAAGGTTGGGGAAGGGGGAGGTATAAAAGGCGTCGACGAACAAGAATGCTGTTATTCGTGCCACAGCTGGCCACAACTGGGTACGGGTATTGAAGGCGAAGGATGGGCGTCTGAATTCATTGGCATAAATTCGTATTGTAATATTAAAATAATTTAATTTCATAATATGATAGATAGTAACACCGTTGACATGAATACAACGTCGCGTTGAAGATCATTGACGTTCGACTTGCAACAAGAGGCGACACCACCCGATAATATATCAGGAATTTTTAAATATGTTCCAGCAGTGTCTCATCGAAAATCACGAATCTCTTTTCGCAGCAAGATTATTCAAATACTAGAAGTTGTTATTTAACAATTTACGTCCTTGCGATTATCGATACGTTTGAGGTTATATCCAATGTTTCGCAATATTTTGCACCATAGGTTAGTAAATTCATGACGTTACGATTTGTGTGCCTGTGAACTCATCGTCACATGAAATTAATAAACTATTAATGGAATTGGGATCATTAAATGATTTCGAATCCCAGATTGAAATTATTAACACGGGTGCAAAATGAAGCAGAATGCCTTCGCTGGCTGCAAATCAATTAACGCCCCCCACGTCGGCGTGAGTACAGTGCTCTCCTCTCTCGCTCAAATATAGCATTATAAATATCGTCATTTCTGTACAGTTTGCGAATTCGCAATACTTGTGTTATAGTTACTATACAGTCGAGTTAACATACATTTGGAACAAGTTGCTGGCACGCCACGGTTCGCGCATCTGCGTCCTCGGAGATTGCCATGTCGACGTCACAGATTCCCTTGCTACCCGATAAAGGAGTTACCATAAATGAATGGTAGATTTAGCGAGTCAAAAACATCGAGTCATTACGCACTAATAAGAGAGAGAAACAAGATAACCTCTGTAACATTCGTTCAAATATGGCAAACGTATAAATGCAGGTTTAGAGACATTTTGATTATTCGTTAAATTATTAAAAAGACGAGAATATCACGTCGCAACGAGTTACAAGACCTCGTGAATTTTGGTACGTCGATAAAGCGTATAAGTGTAAGTACATAAGTCATGTCTCGGAGTCCGAAAACCTGTTTTTCCATTCCCCACTTTCGCATCGTCGAAACGTGGACGTTCCAAGACAGTTAAGTGCCTCCAGAATGTTCACATCGAAATATCTCGCGAGTAATCCCACGCACAGTTCAATCACTCGGTGGAAACTCACCGGAAACTGCTTAAACTATGAGATTCCTTTCTTTTCAGGGAAAGTTCATCTATATGTATGTATTTATACCCTAAGGTAAGTCGAGATCTGCACGCGTTTCGATGGACGAAAACAAACGCAGGGCACGAGTCCAGACAGGAGAAGAAAGAAAAGATTTTGACCGATTCCCTTGTCGGAGGACGAAGAAGAGAATGTAACCACGAATCCAGGATCACTCTCTCTCCCTCAGGATTACGTGGAAGTGATTACTTGTCTCGGGCACGGCGCAATTGCGAGTTAAGTGTCGCACTTTCCTCCTATTCGGGGGAAGGAGAACACGCGAATAATTCCTCGGTCGCAAGCACTCGTCGTCGTCGAAATTGTCGATTCGGCTTCACGTAATCGGCCTGAGAGGAGTCGTTGAAAAAATACTTCGAAGCCCGAACGAGGTCGTCTCTTTCCTCGAGGCAAACGTGACTCGGCTCGGGCCTCCTCTCATCCTCGATTGCACAAGCAATGTCTCTAGATGTAATTGTAATTGTACACGTTAACGTTGGTCACGCCTAGGAGAACGTGCATCCAGGGTCACGCGTTCGGGATGCTGCTGGATTCCTCGTCGTTGTTCACGGCGACCGGTCGTTGCTGAAGAGACAACTCCCTGGCCTTGTCCTCCCAAATCTGGCCATCGGCGAGGACCCTTTAAAATAAACAGGTATTTTATTACATGGAAAGGGAAGCGAAGATGTATTAAAGGTATTAAATGTATTAAATGTATTAAACGTATTGAATTAATCCTCAGGAAAGGCGGGAATGAAGCGACAGCCCCGGATGCCGTCGATGTTCAGATTCCTTTAATTACTAAGAGCCTTGAAAATGCCGGTGGAGCACCGAGTTCTTTTTGCAATTAAAATGAAGCCTCCCGCCGGGTCTTTCTTCAGCGTCTGTAATTAGTTAAGGAGTGATATCCTGGGTTAAACGCGGAAGTACGCGTTAATCCCAGATGTAAAGGGGAGGCCAAACCTAGTGCCGGGGCGGATTTTGTTTAAAGCCATTTCTGACGAGTACTCAAGTCCGCGGCATCCATTTCGCATCCGAACCCGGGACTGATTTAATTTCTTTACCTCGTTCCCGGCTAACCCGGTAATTTCATTTCGCTTTCAGCGCACTCTATTCTGGCCGGTCTGTATAATTGGGACGCGTATACGGTGGGAAACTTCACTTGCTAAATTCCTGCCTTTCCTATTTAGGTGGTTACGCACTTCCTGGTGTTGTCGCTGACCATGCTGTCGGGGGCGCCGTACACCGGAGGGTTCGCATAAGGGTCGTATCCCAGGACGGACAACATCGGCGCGATGTCCGGCATGTCCCTGACAACGTCATCAGGGATGTGGCCCACCCACTTGGTCAAGGCCTCCAGGTTCACCGGCTTGATGACCTGGTCCGACGACCTCTCGACCCTGGAAACAAAAACGATGTTTTACCTACGACAAAACTTCGCCCTGACCCTATTCACATCCTCGAGTACTCTCGAACAGGTTTGAGACAGTTTAAATAAAAGTCAGTGATTTTAATCAACAAAATTACAGCCAAAGAGATTTTTTTTCACAAATCAACGGCGTGCGACTTTTTTTTCACAGAAATCATGATTTTCATCAACCTGGCCAAACTGATATAACCCGTCCTCTCGAAGTAGTTGTATTTAAAAATAATAAAAATTCTGATGAATCGTGATTTAGGAATTGTTTTTTTAAGAAAAAATCATGATTTTTATCAACTCTGAAGAACCTAGCCTCACTTGCTCAGCGGCACTCCGCCGGGTTTGTTGATGAATTCTTCGTGGTGGAGGACGGACTCGTTCCAGGGGACGTCCAAGAAGTTCAGGATCTTCTTCATCCAGTCCCTAGGATGCAGTACCAACTGCTCATAGGGCACCATCAAGCACTTATCCGCTCCGACTTCTTTGCATTGGCCGTGCATAACGGAGATGGCATGGTTCCATTTTCCCAGACACTGCCTGTAGGACGTCAGGTCGAAGCCGGTGATGGTCACCTAGAAGACGAGGTCGAGGTACCACTTGCTGCGATTCGTTACACCCGGGGACGCGATGAGACCCTCGTTCGATAAGAATAAACCTCGTCCAATTTACCTTGCGAGATATGATGGAGTGCACCGTGGCTCTGCCGTCCCTCACCATGAAGAGGAACTTCGCGTTGGGGAAGAGCTCCAGGACGTAGGAGCCCATTTTAAGGGTCAGTGGATCCTTGTTACAGAGCCGAGGAGCTGGTTCCCCATGTCTTGCTATTACCTCCAAGCAGAAGGCCGCTATCGCGCTGTCCATTACCTGATGATAACAAGACGAGGGTTAGCTTCTAACGAAGGCCCGAAATTCGACGTCGCTCCTCGTCAGACCGGGTGAAAAATACGAGGAAAAATCTAAGGAGAGACTTGAATGCGTGAAAATCCAATCGGAACGGTGGGTATGATTTAAACCGCTGGTCAGAAATCAGAATTTAACCCGGCAAATGGATTCCACCCGACATTTGCCTAATGCTCGCAGGGCAAGTGTCCCAGTGATAAGGGACGCTCCGTTAAAATTCGCCTCCCCGGGAAACGGCGTTGCGTCCCGCGGCGCCGATTTACCGCGGCTCTAATGGAATCGATTTGCATAGAAAGTAATTCCATTAATGAGGCTCTAACCTCTTTCGAGATGCCCGCCTCGACGAGCCTCATGCTCTCCCTTTCGGACTTCAGCCAGTGCGACCTCATCTGCAGGATCCGCGGAATTACCCTGGTTTCCTGGCCGCATCTACGAGAGAGGGAACGAGTCAGCGCTGCACTTTGCGGCAAGGTGGAATTTCCCCGGGGTCTCCCGAGGGAACTGGGTGAATCAAAATTCCCGAGAAAACCGCGGAAAATGTACTTAAGGTTCGCTCGAGTCCTTCGAGGTACTTCGTCGAGTTCCTCGGGGCTTTCAGCGCGCGATTCTCGCCCGGGAACCTCCAGGGAAATATGCTTAAATTCCATTATACTAACTGCAATTTCTTTCTAATGCGTGTACTTTGAATTAAAACTCCCGCCGAGAGACGAGAACGATCTAGCATAGGAGCTGGAAAAATTCGCGAGGGGTCCGGTCGCAACCCCACCTTGTGTAGATGATCTTCGGGGCGATAAAACTATCATTTAACCCTAGAACTACCGGTCGATTTTTATTTTCCCATTTTCCCTGGGTTTGATAGTTCTAGGGTTAGTGCAAAGAAATGACTCGAAGAAAATTGGACTGACGAGAATCAGGCCTTTAGTATTTTTTTTTTTTCTAATTATAGGGTCCTCTTTGGAAAGAAAAACAATGAAAGTAGCAGGCCTACTCCTAGTCACCCATTTCCCTTTACGCGATTCGAGGGCTGCGAGCCTTTTGCATGCAAGGTGGAAAATCTCGGAACAATGGATATGCTTCCAGTTCCATTATGTACTCGAGTCGTGCGTTTACACGCATTTAAGTGCGTCCACGATAAAAGACTCGTGGGAACGCTCATGACTCTATGCAAAACCCGGGAGCAGAGAAGCTAAGGGTTCATCTACGCGAATACATACGTGTATACCCGCGTACATGTGTCTATACACGCGAATACATACGTGTATACGCGCGTACATGTACCTATACACGCGAATACATACGTGTATACCCGCGTACATGTGTATCTATACACGTGTATACCTGTGTATACACGCACACGTACATGTACAAACGCGTACATACAGATATGTGTTGTACATTTGCGCTCGGTAGAAACATGCAGCTCTCAGAGAGGTATTACGTCACCGGCTGACGTTTGTTCTCGTATGCCGGTTAGCGTGTTAATTGTTAATAATTAGTGGGCGTATCATCACCTCACGTCCGGGTGCGCGTCCAACATGGCGCGCATCAACGTCGTCCCGGAGCGCGGAACTCCACCGATGAAGATAAGAGGCATGCTCCTGTCGTAGGTGTACGTCTTGTGGTCCAGAGGCCCGATAACATATTTCTGAAAAAAGAAGAAAAAAAAACGAAAGGATCGATTATTAAGTTAAGCAGTAAAATTGACTCCATTCATATAAGGGTGCGAGGCAAATCTTTTATGCAGTGCATTTTTTTTTTTCCCTCTTAACCAGGGATATTGGAAAAAAGCAATACCGAGAATTGCAGTCGCGCTATTTTAATTTCATGTCAAAAAATGCCAGGGGACGCGATCCGTCGTTTATCCGATAAGGTAACAGGGAGTAAAGAGCATTGACTCAATCTGCAAAAAAAAAAAAGAAGAAATTAATAATCAACAGAAGGTTCGTTTTAAAAAGTAGATACGTAAACCTTAAGTAATTCGTCCACGAATTTACGAAGCGGGCCAATATTCCATTCTCGATAACCTCGTACAAGCGAGGCGGGGGAATTCGGGGGCTCTTGTCGCGATAGCGTAATGTAAATCTCGGAGTTTTTATCCGGTCTTTGTTAAGGGGAGGAAGGGGCGGTTATAATTTTCCGAAATGGCCGCTACAGAAATTGGACTCGGGAGAAAACAAACGAGGATCGTTAAAACGCGACCGGGAAACGCGGGGAGGAATTTCCCGGCGACGAGTAAGAATGATGGATGTCCAGCTGTAGCCGGAGAGCGAAGCTTTCCTCTATTTACTTCCGGCCGGCGCGCGGAAGGAAGAGAGAAGATGGCGCCGAGCGGCGGCGAGAGAGAGAGGACCGAGCCGGGGAGAAACGAGTCTCCGTCGCGGTGCTGCCCGTCCGACGCATAAATCGCCGAAACCCCGGGCTCACCCGTTCCCGTTTCCATTTCTACCGCGGTTTTTCCACCCGGCGAGCCATTACCGTCGCGACACAATGGAACGAATGCTAATTGGAAAACATTCCACCGAGAGAGCCGCGATACACCGACGCGCCTCGGACTCGGTCTCGTGGATTCGGTCAATCGAGAGCCGACGCTTAGAATTGGCTTTCGTTCTTTGATTTATGCCGAGCTCGTTTTCCGTATAACCTACGTAAATGGATTATAAGCGCCGCTAAGTAGGACCGAGGGGAAGTAAAAGAAAATGGCGGCGCAAGATCAGAGCGGTAACGGAACTTCGCCTCCACCCTCGCAGACGTGGGAGTTACGTTCAAGTTAATTTGAACCTCCGTTTTCGGTGCTCCGAATCTTTTAAAGTCGTTCTATGTATATATAGAATGACCCTTTAATATCTATATATTAAAACGTGAAAATAATTACAAAACGTTTCTCCAAACTGAGGGCATTGAATAATTTCAAGCCTTAACGCGTGATTATGGAGGTTCTTAGGAAGGTCTCGAAGAGTGAAATTTCGCGGGTTTCAAGACCTTCATTAGGACGGCTATAATGACATGTCAATGTTTTAAATTATTCGGTGCATCCAGTTTGGAGAAAAGATTTATTTATAAATATATATATGACACTTTCATAACACCTTAACACGACCGTATAACAGAAGTTTGTTTTACGTGAAATGGCTGGTACAAATTTCGACTTGCAAGAGATGCGAGTTGGTAGATCAGATTTTCTTTAAAACGATGATTTTCGCTGAAACGAGAGAAGATTATAAAAAGTCGATCTAATGACGGCGACGAGTAATGTCATAGGCAGGATTAAATCGTTTAACGGCTTCTCCTGTCTATATAGTTTATATATCAGTGACGCCAGGGTCTTGGGGAGCAGGTGGACGCGCGACCCTCCCCGACTAATTGCAATTCAAATCCAGGCTCCGCCGCGCTCTCGCGTCGCGAGGTTCGCGCGCGCTCCGCCAGGAGGCGCCGCGGTCGACATATCGAAGCTCGAGCGCGGCATCGCTCCGCCGGTGCGGTAGATCGCTCCCTTCCCACCGACGCGGCCGAAACTGCGGAGTGGCCAAAGTTGCGCGTTCGCGGGACGTCGAAGATACGTTCTCGAACTCCCATTCGTTACCTAATACCAAGATCCGGTGGAATTTAAGACGTTAACTTCAGCTAACGGAACCTCGCCGCCGTTAATTAGCGCTAAACAACCGCGGCGACCATAACCTTTAAATCCTCTCGACCAGCGGCCCAGGTCGAAAGGATCGATGATTTTTGGAGCCTTCGCGAAATCGTTGATTTACCCCGGTTTCTCTATGCGGATATTTTGAAGCCCGATGTAAAAGACTGGAGGAGTCTTGAGACGACGCCATTTTGTTTTTGTTTCATTCCCGTGGAACAAGAGCCGGGAGGTGGGCGCATAAATAATCCCGGCCGATCGCTTTGAAGCATCTCTCGGCGGCAGCTAGACGCTCCTAGGGGATAAAAAGAGCCGGGTATGCGCGACGCTTAAATGACGCGGGAACGGCGGATGTAAAGCGGGGTTTTTTCATCCCGCTCCTGGAAACGATGCCGCTGTCGGCAAAGGGGCGCTCCTTTGACGTCGCCTATTTGAAATTTCATCGGAGCGCTCCTTTGGTTCGACGCCTCGGCCTCTTCGAGGCTCCACAACGACGGGGACGGATGGAAGTCATTTTTTTCCGGCGACGGAAATTTTCGCAGGCTCGTCCTTTACCCCTTTTTACGTGGCCGTGTTATACGTCCACGCTTCGACATTGGGAAATCGATGTTCTTTCGATCAAGGGGAAAAAGTCGCATGTCATATCGACTGCATAAATCGCGATATTACTTCGAGTGCAGGAAAACAAGATGGCGGCCGTCTCACGTAGCTGCGTCCAGAAAGGCAATTCCGATTTCACGAACAGAGGCTGTGAACGTGTAAGGCGCCTTTTTCGATGTACAATGACGTGAAAGGGTATGAATGTAGTGAAATTACGTAGGGCATTGTTAACACTTTGACGGCCGTGCATTTTTCTGATCGCCTTTAGGTTGCCGCCGGTGCGTATCACGTTTAGGTAAAAAAAGTCACGCGTACGTGACAGCGACCGATAATTGCGGGTTAAATGAAATCACGTACACGTGACAGTGGCCGACAATGTGTTAAAGACATAACAATTAAAGTAGTTGCCGTGGGCCGGTTTCAGGCGCCATATTTGAATCTGAGGTCTCGCCGCCACCACCAGGGCGCTACTGCCGCTCAAGTCTTTCGCCGGTCCTCTTTGAATTTGCGAATCGGCGCTTTCCGGTATTGTTACCGTTTCTTTCTCCTTGGAATCCCAGGCGATCTGGAGGTAATCAGCCGATTGGCTGGTTATCAACGGTCTGATTACTTCAGCCAATCCCAGGGCGATATCGCGCCTCTCGGTGGAAACTCGTTCGCTGGGATTGCCATTTCCGGTAATAAACCGTCCGAGGCTTGATGACGTCATAACCGGACCGCCGTCGTCGCAGCCAATCGGGACGCCGGATCGAACCGCCGTCGTTCCGCTAATTTCCACTCTTAATCTCAGCTTAGGGCGACGCAATTAATCCGCGCGTCTTTTTTAACATTATAAATCTCTTTGCAGGTATATCCAATCCTTCGAGACGTCAGCTACCTTGCAAAACCCCGAGAGCGCCATTTTCCTCACTTTCCTCGATGCCAACTTACGGAGGAGTGGAGAGACATTTTTTAAAACACCTCCATCACCCACGACGACGATTAGGAGCCGATTTAGGAGGATGTACGTTTACACTGCGCTGGGAAACAGCAATCTTAAGCGTCTAAACACCGATAAATGCGGTCGCACCGATGGCCGACAGCGAAGAGAAAACGGAAAAGGGAAAAGCGAGGGGGAGCCACCTGGCGAGAAGGGGAGGAAATAAAAGCACTCGCTTCATTTGGGAAAGTGGCTCCTTGTGTCCCCGGGCGACAAAGGAGCTGGCGGAAAATCGCGGCAAAAGCTTCGAGAAAGCCTCCGGCTTGCCTCGCGAGAATCGCGCCCTTGTGGGGAACCGAGATTTCGGAAAAGTCGAACCTGCTTTCCACGAGTTGGCATTTTCCTTCCCTTCGATTTTTACTCCTACCGATACTCACGATTGCGCATCTTCTTACCTACACTCACGATTGTACATCTTCACTTGCGCGACACCCATTTCCGAGGTGAGGAATTGTCGCCGAAATTCGAGTTTCCTTCAGAGAATAGGAATCCACAAAGCAACCTCCCTTTTTGTTTTTTCTTTATTCCCCGAAACAAGGGAGGAAAGGAGACGAAGAAAGAGTGGAAGCCTCTCGCGGTCGCGAAAAGGAGCGAAATTAAAGTTTCATAAGCAGGCCCCAAGAATCCGTGGCAAGGCTAGGGGAGGGAGGGAGGCTTGGACAAAAGAAAGGAAATGAAACGCGGGGGGAAATTACTCCCAGAGAGAAAGAGCGAAGGCCATCGAGTTTGACAAACGACGGACCCGGCAAGAAAGATGTCCTCGCGGAGATTCGCTGGTTCTCGTACGAGTTCGTCGACCCTCTTCAGACCACGTGGTCTGTGGACTCAGACCTGAAGAGACGCGTCAGTCAGGCCTCGGATTTACGGTTGCGACTTCCCTATAAAGGCACCGTCCTACTGAGCGCGGCAGGTGTCGCACGGAGCACTACGCGTCGACGCGTCGCGAACGAAAATTCAACTGCAAAAATTAAAACCACGGAGGAAGCGTCGCAGGGGGTTAAACGCATTTTTCATTGTTTTTTAAACCACGTCGCGTTGACGCGCCGCACTCCGAGTGACATCCGACGCGCTCTGTGGAGCTCCGACCTAAGGCCATGGCTAAATTGCAGTCATAATTTGGGTGTCCTTAAAATCAATGCACAGCATGATTTCGTGATTTTTATACCAATTGATATGAGTGTTAGCGTAATTAAAAATATGCGTAGGTGGGCATAGCAAGGAAAAATGGCTACCATAGAGGAGGGTACCTTTTTCTGTTATGTCTCAAGTTTATGTCCCTTTGTCTGGAATCTAACTTCATGCTCCATTTATATCTAGATCCAGGCCATCGACACCCTTGCGATTAAGTCGTGTCCGTCGACGACGGCGACGGGGAAATTTATGGACGTCGCCCTTCGCACTAGGCCATAACAGAACTTCAAGGGAACCTGGAGGGAACCTCAAGGGAACCTCAAGGAAACCTAGAGGGGACCTAAAGGGAACTTTGAGGAAGCCTGAAGTGCTATGGTGCATCAAGTCCGGATTTGAACTTCGACGGAGCGAAAAATTGTCCTCCAGGTCCGGCACGTCACTTCCGGGTGTCTCTACGTTCGAAAGAGAAGAAAAGAAGAGCGACGTTATGTATCGAGGATAAGGTTATAGGAGCGGATACCGCGAAAATAAGATTGATTGCGGCGAAAGGGTTTCTTTTTCCCTATTTGTTTTTTTTTTGAGAGAGGGGGAATTTTATCCCGGGTATTTCTGCCGAGACGCGGGCCGGTAAATACTGACGGAACCGTCGAACACGTGTCGTCATTAGTGTCAACCGGCTGTCATCCGTTTTCCCTCGTTTTTCTCCCACGCCACCCACGTCTCCGGATCGATGGGACCCCGCGCGGAAACGCAATTTGCGACTAAATTCCGCCTCCGGAAGACGACTCCAATTTCTCGGGATCTACTGGCATTTTGTCGCATTTTTCTTGTCCCATGATTTTCCTATCCGAGTTTTAGACGGACGATTTTACACTGTCTTTCACGCATTTCACCTCGAAAATTGGTATTTTCGGTTTACTCGGGTTTTCTCGCTTTTATTTCTTTTTTCCTTGTACACCCGTTTTGTAGTCCCTTTCTCTCTCTCTCTCCCTCTCTCTCAATATGCAGCGGCCTTTGAGGGTCAGACGGTATTCTATTTAGAAATCGAGAAAAAAGAAAATTGAACCCGGCTCCGAATTAATCGCCGGGGGCCACGGCGGATCCGCTGCGGAATTCCGCTCGCCGATGGACGATTCTCCGCGCTCTGGCATTCGCGCGGAAAATTTACCGGAGCATGCACCGAGTCGGTGCATCGCTGCAGTGCAAGGGATGAACAAGTTGCACGGAAAAATGAATCTTTTACGTGGAGAGGATATTCGGGGGGAGGGGGCGAATTAAACTATGCGACAGATATTTGTAAAAATAAGTAGATGTGTTAATTCAGATTTTGCGTGTCTATAATTATTGTTATTTCATTCTGAACGATGATAACGAACCGGGAGAATGACGCACTAGTACTATCAAAAATATTTGCGCAAATTCTGTGAATACTAAAATTGAAGTTTCAGTATAGACAGTCATTTTTTGAAAAAATAGGGGAAAGAAAAGGCGTTTCAGTTTCGGATATGAGTCCCTCTTGTAATATACGAATTTATACACGTGTTACTGTCTATTAAGAGTTTTATAGATTTAAGGAGATGTGAAAGTGGCATCCGAAAGCTCGATCGTTCATAAAACATTTCTACGAACTGGATGTCTCAAATCGTTTCATACTTTAAAACGTGAATATGAAGACCCTAAAGTAGGTCCTGAAACTCACGAAATTTAATTTTTTTATAAACTATTTTTGAAATATCTATAAACAAATTTGAAAAGAATAGAAATTTCATGAGTTTCAGGACCTTCCTTATAGGCTCCTTATTCACGTAGTAAAGTTTCAAACTATTCGTTAAATCGAGTTGGGAGAAAAGTTTTATAAACAAAACCTCTTTGACGCCACTTTCACATCGCCTTAAGAGGTTTTAAAACGCGTGGCTTTACAGGCGCTCGAATTTTGGAGTCGCTTACCTCTTTCGCCACCATCATGGAGGTGGGCTCTTTCTGGTTGCCGCAGATGATGCCCAGCTGGTAGAGGCAGAAGACGAAGAGCAAGATGATGAGGCAGATGAGGGGCCCCCTGCGCCCCCCGCGGGTCGACAGTAGCGTCATCCTTCGGCCGATAAGGAAGATCCCTCGAATTCTGTCGCCTCGCGGACCAGCGATAGAGGCCTTGCACCTGATACCTTCCGGACTAGCTCATCACACCTGAAACAGAGGATCGAAGTCAGCTTCGTCATCCCATTGCAGTTCCCAACGACTTTACGAAATATTTAATTTAACACCGGAGATCCTCCGCGGGAAAATGTGGAAAACGAGGGATTTTCGCAATTTACGTCGTCCTCCGGATAATTGATACGGCGCTTTATGGCGCCAATTACGGGGATCTCCGCCTGCCTCGAGCGGGGAGGATTTTACGAGTCCATAAGCTTTTCGAGGCAACTTGGAGGGGAGTTTTTCGACGTTAACTGCGTGCGGGAAATCGTTATCGCCCGACCTGTGCGTTATGGGGGAAATAATTTCGGCGCGTCGAGGATTTTTCCGGAAAATTAAGGCGTCCCTCCGGGCTCGTAATGAATATTTTGTACCCCGTAACGAGCACTTTATGGCGCGCGTTTAGGCATTCACGGGAGCTGTGCCTCTTGGCTTAGGAAGTTCCGCTGACGATACTCGGCTATGCGAAACGCTCTGGCGAAGCTTCTGAATTTCCGACTCCGGATTACCTGCAACCGCCGGTTTACGAGGGCGCTCTCGTAAATCCAAACGTTACAGACAGACCAGGAGAAGGCGGACGAGTGGCGCGATGTGACGGAGATGTGCCTAAACGACGTGTCACTTGCACGAGCCCCTTTGAATCATGATTTCGATCACTATCAGACGGTGACCCTCTCGCGTCGATGCTTCGCCAGATTCGGGAAACTGGACTAATTCGGGCTAATCGCCGATTAACGGATTCCTGCCTCCTCCACCCTTTCCATGCAGAAATCCGCGAAATAAAAGTCACGTGGTCGGCAAGGAATTGGATATAATTAGGATTTATCGAGTATCGATTACTTCGTCCTACTCTATGTGAATGCTACCCTCTTAAAAATATTTATAAAATTCATACACAAATTTGGGGTAAAACGATGAATTTCACGTTCCGAATGGGAATTACTGTAGATTTGTGATAACTTCAAAGATAAATTTGTAATTTTCTAACGTCATATTGTGAAATCATGCAGAAAAATGAGTGCACTTATGTACTAAATTTACAAAATGTTATAAAACTACAATATTTTCTTTTTAACAGTGTATATATTGCATCGAGGATGTTTTTCGTTCGAGAACATTTGTACAATTTTGTCGCGTGATGTACTCGCAAATGTGTTTTTCGATGATGTGACTTTTTATGTGAAGGATTTATCTTGTAAAAGGAACATGCATAAGTAGAGGTAGAGAAAATTACAGATGCGAGTAAAATCAGGCCTGGCGTGATGTACTCACAAATTTGTTGTTGGATGACATGACTTTTTATGTTAAGGATTTATTTTATTTGTGAGTACATCACGCCTGGTGTGATCTACTCACAAATTTGTTTTTGGATGACATGACTTTTTATGTTAAGGATTTATTTTATAAAAGGAACATGCATAAGTAGAGGTAGAGAAAATTACAGATGCGAGTAAATCTGGCCTGGCGTGATGTACTCACAAATTTGTTTTTGGATGGAGACTTTTTATGCGAAGCTTTTATGTTATTTTTTGAAAGGAAGGCGTAGGAGTAGAGGTAGATAAAATGACAGAAAGGCGAGTAGATCAGGCCTGGCGAGGGCAGACCGATGATGATGCCTCCTCTGTAATCGAGTTTCGAGGGCGAACCACCCTTTAACTGGTACACCGGGGCGCGAAAACCGTCGGTAATTTAATCACTCGGGCAGAGCCAGAGTCGTGATTCAAAACCCGTCGGCGACTACCAATCATAAAGGTCGTTTGTCATCGCTAACCCGACAAGTCCGTCGACGGTTCCTGATGGCACGCGTAATCTGATCTATTACTCTCGCTTTACACGCAACGATTCTCTCGCCCGATTCGAGTTACCGGGGACGATTTGCGCCTGGTCATCCGCGGAATCGCAGCAAGAAGTAATATACTGGCCGGATTGCGATCCGTAATCTACCGGAGCTTTCCTGGGTTGAATATATCTCCCGCTGACTCGGTTTTCACATTATAGAAAATTTCACCCGGGGTTTATAATTCCCGAAATAAAGGGAATAAAAGAAAACAGGAATAGGATGGGACAACAATCGCCCATCTCGTGGGTGTTTATATTTCGCGGTTAAACTTCTTGTCTTGTTTTTCATTATCCTCTGACGATTTACTAAAGATTATAAACAAGAGAAATTGTTAATGGTAATCTTTTTTCCCAATTAAAATTATACCCAAGGTTAATAATTCCCGAAGTAAGGGAATAAAAGGACACAGGATTAGGGTAGGACAAGGATCGCCCATCTTGGGGTTTGTATATTGAGGTTAGATTTGTTTCTTTTTTTTATTATCTGGTGATTTATAGAGGATCAGGAAACAAGAGAGAAATTGTTAATGGAATTTTCTTTGTCAGTTTAGTTGCTGAGAGGGCTCGGAGGGGAGAAAAAAATCTATGTAAAATCGGGGTTAATAGAATGCGCCAGTCAGGGGCGAGAAGACTAACGAGACTATTAAGGGGGATGCTAAGATCGAGGGGCGGAAGTAATTGTGATGCACTGTTTAATTATTCTTAGACTCGACTTAACCTAGAATTCAATTCAAAACCCTCGTCCGAGGGGGTCGTGACTCGCGACTGCAAGAACGCGATTTACAAGTATAAGTCGGGGGGGAAGTCTTGAACAAATTTGTTCACAGTCTGCCGAGGGCACGGAATTATTTATTTACAAACACGTAAATTCGAGGAACACTTAAAAAAGAGAAAAGCAGCGGGCGAAGTGGGCCGTGAATATTTTTTTCGCGCGATTTACTTTTTCTCGAGAATCGAATAAGTAATAAATTGCAAGCGGCGATTAATTTCATCGAATTTTGGATTCAATGAGGGATGAGTCCCGGGGGCGAGGGGGATGCGGAATGTTTGCAGAGTTCTCGGGGGAGGGAATTGAACGCTTTTTGATTTAAGGATTCGGTCCTACTGGCCCGCCTTTGTCGGAATAATTTATGAGAGCCGATGTTGCCGTAAGAACCTCGGGGAGACATTAACGCGATAAATCGAGCCAGCTCCGATAATATCGACTTTTGGACGATTCGCGATAATCGGATTCGAGCTCGGCAGAGCCGTCGACGCTGATAATTTAGAATTGCCAGTCTGAAAGGCTCGATCGACCAGTCGATCGCGATTATCGGCCTTCGGGAATGTCAGCTGTAGAGAATGTCAGCTTTCGAGAAGCGCCTCGAGGCCGAGGTGGGTCGAGAAAATTCGCCGAGCCGAAATAAAGCTCGGAAAATGGCGGGAAAAAATGTCGAAACCGATTAGGAATTCCCGGGTCTTTTTTATACAATTTTATTGCAGCATTTATCAGGGGCGAAAAATCAGGCGAAAAATTGGAAGATCGCGGTAGAAAATGACCGGTTAGGGATATCTGTATTTTTTTTCAGCCATTTCTTTTTGCAGTATTTCTATAGTTATATTTTATGCATTTCAGGCGTGGGGAGTTCCGGTTTCCAGCGGAGAATTTCATTCCAGGCACGGGGTTTCATTCCAGGTTGCAATATACTCGCGGAAGGCGCTCCTTGGAGGGGGCGCGAGAAATTCACGCACGTCGGCCCAAATAAAATGGAGGAAAAAGTGTGAGTCCTTTCAACGGCGAGCAGTCCGGAGATCCGCTCTACGTCATTGTCCCGCGACGATATCCCGAGGAAGATTAAACCCCTGTGCAAAGGCGAAAAACGAAGGAACAAAGCCGCAAGAAACACGAATCAAAGACAATGAGAGGCACGGACGGCCGCGTCCATTGCGAGAAGCAAGAGATCCTGAAAACTCGCAGTCAGGGCAGTAATTACCGCGAATTACTCCCACCCTCGCCATGAAAGTCCGATTAGGGTGCTTTTCAATTCATTTTTCAGATAACTTTAACAAAAGGACGCGGTTTTCCGAACCCCTCTTACCGCCCGGAAAACGGGGCTCGTTTCGCTCGCAAATCGCGACGCAACGCGGAAACACCTGGGAAAATGTCCCAGGACTTTCGAGTTTTTTATTTCGGAATTTCTTCCTCCACTTTTTCCTCCGTTTTTCCTCCCTTCGAGAGACGACAGCGCGAAGAGGAAGGAAGTGAAAAAGGAACAAAGGGGTGCTCCTCCCTCGGCCGGTCGCGGGGCGAGAAATGAAAGAGGGAGGGGGAGGAAAAATAAAAATGGAAGCCATCTCCTTTTTACAGCGCCGCGGAAATTCAGGGCCGCGTCTTTGTCTTGCGGCGATATATCCGGGAAAAGATTAAAACCGGGGCGGCGACGAAATGGGCCGCGGGGGTTGGGGGAAAACAAGACAATGTAGGTTATGGCCGGTTGTACCTATTTCGCGCGGCTTCCCGCCATCGCGGCCCTAACCTCTTCGACTGGCGGCCGCGATGAAAGATGGCGACACCCGCCACATATTGCGACCCTCCACCATCGACCCCGACCTACCCTTTTATTCGTTTCTCCTTGTCTGCACCATAATATACGGATGTCGTCCATCAAAACGCCTTTTTTGCCCATGATTTCGAGCTTAAGCGCTTCCATCCGTGGACGGCGTCGCGGATGAATCAAGATGGTGCTCGTGGAGAAGAGCAAAATTCGAAACAATAATATCGGCTCGATATGCACAGAAAATGGGAATATAGATTAACTATTCCTTTGTAAAATGCAGGATTCTTCGTTCGGTATCTTACTTCGTATGGTAGTTTGTATATAATAAGTAAATTATCGCGTGGCAGGTCTTCGGCAGAAGTTTCAAGATGGCGCCCGCGGTGAAGAACGAAATTCAAAACAATAATATCGGCTCGATACGCATAGAAAATGGGTGTCTAGATTAACTATTCCTTTGTAAAATGCAGGATTCTTCGTTCGGTGTCTTACTTTGTACAGTAGTTTGTGTGTAATAAGTAAATTATCGCGTGGTAGGTCTTCGGCAAGAGTTTCAAGATGGCGGCGACGAGGAGTCCCCTCGAGGGATATTCTTCTGGCAACTGGAGCGCGATTCCGCTT